CTGAGCACTCAGTGCCCCCTGACCTCACATGACCATAAATGAAGGAATGAAATAACCTCAGCACATAACCCTTGAAACATCCTATCTTCCTCTAAGGAGACGAAGAGGAGACTATAGGGCTTCAGGGCAGTGTAAAGTGATAGCAAGTATGCTGTTGTCAGCAGGATTCAATAAATATTTTGTTCTTCAACAAAATTTATTTTATAAGTATGGCAACAGTCATACTAAACTCCATGACAGCTGTACAATTCTACAGAGCTGGTCTCTTGGAGTCCTGGTGCTCACAAACCTCTGGCACAGTTAAAGATTCCTTATTCAAGGGGTTGGTATTTTTATGTGTGTCCTGTGGTCATTCCTGGCCACTACACAACAGTCAGAAACATGTCCTCTCACTGATAAATGAATGGTCTGGTTTAGCTATAATAGATATTGACACTGGGTTATACAGCATTAAAGTCATGCCTCCTCTCTGTCCAATCCCTGCCCCCTCTCAACTCCCCCCCCACCCAAAAGTATTCTTTATAGAGAGGTCACTGTGTACTTTTATCTGGAAATGAAACACATACCTACATTTAAGTGTCTCATCCTAACACATCTACCACCAATAAACACATATCCACATATGCACCCCTCTGAGCTGAGGCCAAGCAGAATACATTTCAGACCAAGAGTTTAATAGTCTGAGAAAGTTACAATCAAATACACATTTGAAATGAAAATACCATCTCAGCCATAACTACTGTATCATTACCATAACACCATTGTATTCTTTCCAGATCACTAATTTTCTATAGAGATGATGGAAACTTTATCCCAAGTGAAAGACATGATGTGACTTTGAACCCTGAATCACTGTGATATCTACTACTGTTTAACAGAGAAGTTATTCATTAAAATTCTTTAAAGCTGCAGTATCAGATTAGCTTCTATAAATTTCTTACCATCACCACAATGGCAGACGTAACTACTTAAATTCATCCCAGACATTTAATTTGGTCTATGACCCTTTGAAGTACTCTTTGAGCACAATAGGGCTGGACACAGGAAAGCCTGATATGCACGTTGATATTGCAAAGTGTTAAGACAAACTAGGAACCTCCAATTCAAAGGTGATCATGTGTTTTTAAAGTCATGCGGGAAGCAGAGTGCTCAGTGTATATAGCTCTCATCTGAGATTCCAGTCCCAATTATTAGGTACCAAGTGAAATAGTGAGTTTGATGGTTTCCCCAGCTACACATTATAAAACTATCAAACAGAGAAGAATGTTTTTGTATTAATAGAAATTGTTCACAGTGACCCAAATCACCCCCGCCCCATGAACTGTCATCTGTTGTGCTATATAAATAGGCTTGGAAGGTTTAGATTTGTATTGGTAAATGTCAGTAAAAATCGATTTCACCACACACACACAAACTGACTTAAACATATTTCCATCAATAATAATCAAAATTTACAGACAAGCAAAGAAAGAAAAATGCTGCTTGAGAACTTTACTACAGTTTGATTTAAAGATATTTACTTTATATATTTTGATGTGATGTTGAAATTCTGTTAATTGTTATAAGCTTTAAGTTTTTGAATCTCAGTGTCTAGTCATTAAATAATTATCTGCCCCACTCCATAACTGAAATCAACAAAAAAAAAAATTAAAAATGCTTACAACCCATAATTTTGCACAACTGAAAATTTTAATTGATAAAAATAGAAAAAAAAGTTTAAAAATAAACATTGATATTTTCCATCAAATTGATGATAAAAATTGAATTCTACCAAGCCTATCAATAAAAATATTTCTATTTTATCAAACATTTGTATTGGACTGTAAATGCATACAGTACTTTAGAAACATACATAAACACACTCTGCCCTGAGCAATGGTGAATGGAAACTGCATTTATTCAGCTCTTTCCATCTTCAAAACACTTTATAATCATCTTCACCCTGCCCAATGAGATGCAGATTTATTAACCCCATTTTATAGGGGAGGGAAACCACCACTTCAAAGGTTAGTGGTGACCTGCCAAGGAAAATTATTGGGTCTGTGCCTTTTTTTGTAAATGTCTAGAAAAAGACCTTTCTGAATAATTTAGCACCCCCGCTTCTTCAATTTAGGGTTGAGACAACTCATAAATCTGAGGCTGCCCAAAAATCTTGCAGCAAAAGACAGAAACACCAGACTTAACATACCTGAAATTTAAACATACGAACAAATGAATAAACTTTCTGGCTTTCTTTATGCATCAATGTAGTGGGAGGGAAAAAGGCACAAACACAGTATTTTCCCTCTCTGCAGACTCATTACTTTTAGATCTTTTGTCCTCAGCCACCAAAAGAGAGTGTGTGTGTGCGCGCGCATGTGTCAGAGATAGGCTTGTAACTTAGGAGGTTCTGATTCCCATTCCTATGCTCAGGCCACATGTCTAGTAACCAGGTATTTCATTACCAAGACCAAAAACCAGAAACAAGAGAACAATGCATCTTAAGCAGAAGCTACATGGGTAATCAAGAGTAATATCTGAAGAAAAACAGCAGCAGGTTCTCAGAACACCAGAGGGTGCTATTGCACAGCCAGTTAATGGGGGGAAATCTCAGCAACAACACTGTATGAATAGCCTTTCTTGCACTTAACAGAAGAACAGTGGTTCCAAGTTTAGGACACTAGGTCTTTTGGATGCAGATGACTGGAAAAAGCCTTCCACAGACTGTTCAGTATTTGGTCTGGGCTACCTTCCAGAGTTCAGATGTGAAAATAACCCTGCAGCTCCCCAGCAGTATCCCTCCATGACAGTAAAGCACCATGCATAGTTGTTATTTTGAAAAATGCTTTAGCAAAATCATGTGGCCTCAGGAAAGCTTTGCAGTTACTGGAACCGAGCCTCATGACCAAAAGCAATTTTAGTTTGCCAACGAAAGGATTAATAGTGAGAGTCATGTTAAAAAAAAAAAATCGTACTACTACAGAAAAGCTTCTACATGCGTATTAAAACACTATAGGTTATCATAACTGAATTTTCATCAAATTAATTTCTCTATCTGGGGGGTTTTTTACTTCTTTCCTCTGGGACAACAAAACCCAAATAGTCAGTTGCCCTTTTATTTTATAATAAATTACCAGTGGAAAAGGATTGAAAATCAGAAAAACTGTTTCACAAAAAATTTCAGAGTTGTTTCCGTTTTGCATGGTTTGAAATGGACCCTTTTCTGCCAAACTGTCATGGAGCTTTTAAATTGAAATTTTTCATTTTCTTAATCATTATTTAAAAATTATTTACCAAAAACATTTGGTGCTACTTATATCAGCGCCATAGAACCACTTTAGCAGGTGGTTCTTAAAAGGTGACTGTACAGAACCCTACCTGACACAGAGGAATCCAGGAACTGCAGTGATGCTTATATTAAGCACAGTCAGTGGTGCCAAGTCCTCAGCATTGGACTTGGTCAGCTCCGATGGATCTGGAGACCTCAATGCCACTTTGACTGATCTGACCCTCAGCACTTGTCTTGGTTGAATTGGCAGATCCAGGAACTTTCATCTGCTCATGTTGCTCACAAAACAAAGTTGGTTCTCCAGAGATGACAGTGCTGCATCTTTGCTACCAAATTCAGTTGACCCAGATGGATCCAGGGACCTCTGCACAGCACAAGGTCGACACAGAATCACTTTGAGCATGCTGTTCTCCAGAGTCCTTGGTGCTAGGACTCAATATTCGACTCCCATCAACCCAAATGGATCTGGTCACTAGTACCACTTTGGCCAGTGATTCTCTGGAGTCAAGAAGTGCCCTTCTGGCACAAACCGAACACTCAACCAAGACAGATGCACGGACTTCATTGCCACTTATGCCAAGCAGAATCTGAATTTATAGTGCTAGACTCACTTGACTAGGTCTAAAGAGCTTCCCTGGAGAGCAGGGGTGTGAAGTGACCTTTCTGCTTTCACAGCATCAGATTATTCCCATGCTGTATGGGCATCTTTCTCTGTATTTAGAAAAGTTTATTAATTGACAATCTAACGGTAAAACAAAAATAGCCTCGAATGGACTGAAGAAAAAACCACCATGTAAGAGCTGAGGATACCTAGTGTGATCTACACTCACTGCACCGTTAATGCCTAGAAGAAACTGAAAGGCATTTGGAGCTACTCCCCATTTTATACCTTTGGAACGATCTGTAAAGGATGAGTAAGGAGGAGTGAGTGGCCCCAATTGATGCTGCTCACCAGAAGATTTTGAAAGCTCACAGTGCAAGCTCCTTGAAACCACAAGTAGGAGTATGCAGAAGACACTCAAATATGAACTGAGTTTTCTTACTGAAACAGTGGTTTTTAAGAAACAAAGGGGCTTGTCTAGTCAAACAGTTAGTGCACAGCAAGCTGGGTTGTAAATCTACAGTGCATTACCATGCCATATACTAGCTGTCCAAGTGGACCCTGCTACTGTGCACTAACAGTTCCCTAGTGCTCATTGACCTACTCCCGTTTCAAAGCAGAGCGGATCAAAGCACACTAAGAAACTTTTAGTGCATGGTAGCGGGTTCACATGGACAGCTTATACGTGGCATGCTAATGCACTATAGATTTACATCCCAGCTTGCCGTGCACTAACTGCCTGACTAAACAAGCCCAAAAAGTTTCTATAATGAATTTAAACACAATTTTGATACAATTTTAGAGTAAAAGTATGACGGAATATTTCATAAAAATAGAATTTTTTATGAAATAGTGTTGACATTACTGTAAATCTAATTTTTGGAAAAAAGCCTTTTTAAGTGAAGAAACTATGAAAAGTTTTGACCAATTCTACTTACTAATCAATATCATTTAGGATTCTCAAATACTGCAGCATTGTGCTGATTGGGGTAAACACCATTTCCACTGGAATCTTAAACATTTCATAAAGCATTCCGGTCACTCATTGGTTGTAAAAGCTAATTTTTCCAAAACCTAAATTTGGCTCCCATTTGTATCTGGCATCATCTAGGAAAACTCTTGCTTACTTACGCAGGAACACCTTCAAATTCCTGTGCCGTTATTAAAGGGGCTTCTTTAATAAATTTTGGCTCTTTCGCAGGTTTCTTTACACATTCAGGTTCTGCAACTTTACTTTGTTCTTCCGACTTCACAGTTAGTCCCACAGTGCTGTAAAATGAATGAAAATTAAGTATAAAAATAGCTGATAATCAGTAGTTATGAACATACCAACAAGTTACAAGATCTCTACTCACACAAATCTACAATTCCTTTTCTCCCACTGATTGACAGGACAAAATTACTGCGTTTGCAATAATATGTACTTTAATTGACTGTTCATTATACCTCTTCATTTTTCAGTTAGAGAGAGGCTGTTACCAGGCTCAGTTACAAGTTCAACATACCACTGTATTCCACAGAACATGAGAGGCCTTACTTTTCACCATTTGCTTGTGGCTCAAAAACACGAGCCAGGTTATGCACTTATTGGTCTAGTCATCAGACCCCTTTGAAACACAGGTTCAAAACTTGGTAAGACTGACTCACCCGTTTATCCTGTGATGCAAATAAACTGAACCTCATGCAGCGTACTGCGTAGTTCTTCTGGATGGGATCGGAAAAGCCACAGTTTCTCTGGGTGAACTTTACCAAACCCATGGTACCTTTTAAAAAATCTGCCCCACCAAGCTCCTCAGATCAATATCCTTAGGTAAAATCTGTTTCCCTTCTCCCCAGTGTTGTACTGCATGCCAGTCACTTGGCTGCCTCTGTTCTACACATTCCGGCCAGCAATATGAAGAGAATACGATTTATGTATTGTTTGCTCCGTGCTATGGTATTCTGTGGAATGAAAGTTGTCACGTAAACGTAAAAAAAAATCATTAAAATAAAGTTGAAGTGTTACATAATGAAAGACTGACTTGCAATTTTGGTCCCAGTGGCTAACAGTATGAGACAGTGGGCAAGCCACAGCACTCTATAATTATGTCCTGACGGTAGCAAAGGAGTGTAATATCAATGCAGCTGATGATCTGGGTTTGATGTCTCATTTAAAAGAAGGCACCTCCACCAGTGCAGTGCCCCACCACAAAGATAACCTGCTGGAGTATTAGTTCAGATTGACTGAAGAGGATTAGTGTCACCTGCTGAATTAGCAATTAAATTCTCAAAAACTTTGTTTACACAGGGTTAAGTTTGCCCAGTTCTACCTTTTGCCCTTCCAGAATTTAGACAATGGCTAAACTTAAACCTCTGGAAACCAGGAAACACAAAGTTAAGGCAACACAATCTCATGAAGCTGGCAATAGCCACTGGGAATGGTTCACTAAGGATGGTGCAAAGGTTAAACTACCAAGTGAACTGATGGATTCACCACCTCTTGAGGTCTTCAAATCAAGTCTGGATGCTTTTCTGGAAGATATGCTTTAATCAAACACAGACTCAATACAGGAGTAATTGGATGAAATTCTATGGACTGTGTTATATCAAAGGTCAGACAGGTGATCTAATGGTGCCTTCTGGCCATAAAAATCTATAACAACTTAATAAGTAGACATGATGGACTAAAAGAACATGCCAATGTTTGCACTGTGTTCATCAGATTTGAACTGCAACATTTGTCTGCATGGACTCCAGCTTCATTGGGTGTAACTTCATTGAGTGGTGGAGTGATTGACTGGAGCAGCTTTGCAGAGCTGTGACCGTGATATGATGAGATATGCAAGTGCAACTTACGGAATCAAGTATGCCCCATTTCAGTGCTGGATTTTGTAGATTTGTGCACTTCAACTGACACAGAGTATGTTCTTGTCATGGGGATTGTCAGCAGTCTGGTGGCATACATGATAGCGGTCTTTGAAGCTTAATGAGAGGTAAGTGAAGGCAATGTCTCAGACGGAATCTGGTGGGCAAGGCTGAAGGAGTAGAAACATTTAACAAGTCTGGGGTAGTTTGTGTGGAGCAGGTTCAAGGGTTGTATGTAGGTAGCTCCTGTTCACTACATCTGACCTAAACCTGAGTTTTGCCTGAGCAAAGAGAAGATGTTAGACTTTGTCCTACAGTGCTCATATGCAGAGCCTTGTGCGGATAAAGAATTTGTATCCACATCTGCTCTATCCACAAACGGGGTCCGTGGATATCCGCAGATTTGCAGGGCACTGCTCATACGCTCTGTCCCCAAAATGTTCTGTAGCATCTGTTAGGGTAGAGTGCTAGTATTTGTGCTACTGGTGTGTTGGGGCATCTCTTAAAAAGGACAGAGTTAAGGTTGCATTATGGGGGTGATGCACACCTTAAACTCTTCATTTCCTGGTTTTCAGAGGTTTAAATTTAGCCACTCTCCATTTTCTGAAAGGGCATGAGGCAGTACTGGGCAACCTTAATTCTGCAGTAACAAAGTTTTGGGGGTATTTCATTTCCCTGGTTTAAAAAAAAAAAAAAAATTTATCAGCATCTCCATGTACCATAGCCCAGCTCTTCCCCACCACTGCCTCTGGCTCCTTGTTAATGATTACCCTTTCAACAGAATGTGAACACCTCCACTTTTCCTGTATCATCCTGTCTCCTGTGTCTATGCCTGCCCCTCACAGCCCAGTTCTCCCTTCTCAGACTTCCTCTCCATGGAGACACAGATGTCAGCATAGGACCATGGGCTGAGGAATTGGGGAGAGGGTGCAGGAACAGTGGTAAAACCTAAATCAAGTCAGTGCATACATTTTTAGAAGGGAAGGTCTCTGACCCCTTCCTTACAACTCCATCATGCCCTTTGCTTTGACCACTCCCACAACTCTGGTGCTCTGAGCACTGCACAAATACAGTATGTGGTAAGAAGCATTAGCACTCTAGATCTAACAGGAATGCTACTAATATATAGAACTTGACTGAATCCCAAAGATTTGTAGTTAATATCTAGTACTAGGAGCAGAGATATACAGATTTTTACACTGCCAGTGTCATCAGGAAATCTGCCTATTTGAGTAATACGCACCACTTTGGGATTGCTTTGGGCAGATGGGGAGGAATATTTTCACGGAGGTGCTGTGCTTCATTATAGTCCCTCTCAATAGACTCCTGCATTTCCTGAAAAGAAGAATATTGGACTCTTTCAGTATTTTTAGTTACCAAAAATGGGGCAATGGAAATGGTTCTGTTTACTACCTAGATGATGCGAGAATGACCCTTACAAATATGGCTTAATGTGATTAATGAACTTTGCTGTTTTTCCACTATAGACCCACACTCTAACTCCCCAGAAGCAATCAGTGGAGCCTAGAAATTTAACTGCTTTTCATTCTAAATAACTTGAGCCAGAGAAGCTGAGAGTGATCCAGTGGGGGGGAAAAAACCTAAAAAGAAGGTGGCCGCTGTAGCGAATAAAACTCTAGTTGCCACTAGCCAGAGAGAGAAGACAGGAAGAATAAAGCTGGCTGCAATTAAGAGTCAAGGAAGGAGTTCCAAGGACATCTCATTAGCATGCAAAAGAAGCCAAACTTCTGAGGTGAGGGCACTAGTGAGGTCACACCCAAAGACAGCTCTGAACATTTAGAATCAATTCTGCTCGTTTGTCATAATTTCATTGTTGTTCCTGACTTTTTATTACTAAGGACAGTTTTATGCAAACAGGAGATTTGTTTCTGAAGCTTTGTCTCTTCCTGCTCTTTATCCCTCAACCTGAAGTTATAATTTTGTGTGACATGATTATTTCCACAGCAACTAATTGCTTTTAGAGAATCATATTCCTACCAACACTGCCAGCAACTCTCTTGTAAATAAGATTTCAGTTTCAATCACTTGATTGACATGACAGGATACCCAAGGGTTGCCAGACTTACTAAACCAATCTCAGGGCATGGGGAAGTATGACAGAAAGGTACAGAAGTTTTACACAATGGATATATTTTACATTACTATCTGGCTCTGATTTGGTGTCAGGCTGCCATTGTCTCTTCACATCCTAAAGTTTTTTTCCTTACATGATTTCACCATTTCCTTTTATAAAGACAGGTTTCAGAGTAGCAGCCTTGTTAGTCTGTATCCGCAAAAAGAAAAGGAGTACTTGTGGCACCTTAGAGACTAAAAAATTTATTTGAGCATAAGCTTTCGTGAGCTGTAGCTCATGAAATCAGATGCATCCGATGAAGTGAGCTGTAGCTCACAAAAGCTTATGCTCAAATAAATTTGTTAGTCTCTAAGGTGCCACAAGTACTCCTTTTCTTTTTTCACCATTTCCTTGTAATTCTCCTGTAATTAAGTTTGACTATCACTGAAATTTAAGAAAAACAATGTGACAGTATTTTCATACTAGAACTATGCTCATTAGAGGAGATATGTAATAAGAGCAACACATTAAACAGGTCACAGGAGGAGTCACAAACAAGTGAATACTGATGTATGAATTGAGGGCAAAGTGTATACAAATCATTTCATTGTCAGAGCCCAGATAACAGTGCTAGCAAATAGTTGTAAAATGAAAGAATATTCTGGGCAATGACATAGAAATAAACACACAACTTGCCCCGTTGGCTTCAGAAATCCTGGCTTCAATAACGGTTTGAGCAGATAACATGGACAATTATGGACACACATTTCAGTTCAGGTGCAGATTTCTTCTGCAGGAGAATAAGACTGCATGTGGCTAGCTGTGCCAGGAAGAAAGAAGAGTCTATTTCATAGGCAATATTTCCAGTCTGATGAGGGAAGAAAGGCCTGAGCCTAAGCCCATTGGCTCAGTCCCAAAATGCAAAAACAACAGTGATCAATATTTTGTTGTTGCAATGAATGCATTATACTTCTCTGCTCAACTCACTTGCTATAACATTCTCATAACTCAAAGACATACCACCTAACGACCCAGAAAGGAACCATTCTGGACAGGTCTGAAAGATTCCTTTAAAGCTTCCCATTTATATATTGGGATGCTACAAGCAGAACAAAATAAGATTACCTTGAGTGAATTCTTTAGTTTTTCTTGATGCTCAACTTCTATTTCCATTTTATTCAGGAGACCACTGAGGAGAAACATCTCATGCCCTATTTTACAGAGCACAGATTTCAAGGATGGCTCCTGACCTGTCAGATAGAGAGAGAGAGAGCATGCACGTAAAATTAAAAAAACAAAAACAAAAAAACCCACAAGTGTCTGGTTCGCACTATACACATCTCCCATCTCTATCTCCAAAAATTTTCTGCATTCCTTCCCTACTCCCTGAAATTCCATATCATAGTTCCCAACCTTCTGGCAGAGAATGGAAAGCACTGTTCTCTTTGAACAGGGGTTATTATTCTGTGGCCTAAAGTGCTCAGTGCCATCCTAGCAAGGGGGGTGAGAGCTGGAAATAGAATGAGTTAGATCTCAGCAAAACATTAAAACGCACTGCAAAATCAATCAATCAATATCACACACACACATAAACCCGTGTTAAAAGAACACTACTAAAGTTGCAAAGTCAAGCACTCAAAAGTTATGAAATGCCAGAATTAAGGTTGCCTGAGCAACCTGAATTTGGCCCCCTTGGCATATCCATTATGGTCCAGTCTATAATCAGATGATCACAGACAGTAGAATCTCAGAGTTACGAAGACCTTGGGAATGGAGGTTGTTTGTAATTCTGAAATGTTCGTAAATCTAAAAAAAAAACACATTATAGTTGTTCTTTCAAAAGTTTACAACTGAACATTGACTTAATACAGTTTTGAAACTTTACTATGCAGAGAAAAAATGTTGCTTTTAACCATCTTAATTTAAATGAAACAAGCACAGAAAGTTTCCTTACCTTGTCAAGTCTTTTTTTTTAGTAGTTTACATTTAACACAATACAATATTGTATTTGTTTTTTGCTTTTGTCCCTGCTGCTGCCTGATTGCGTGCTTCCAGTTCCAAATGAGGTTTGTGGCTGACAATTCGTAATTCTGGTGTTCGTAACTCTGAGGTTCTACAGTACCATTTTTTCCACAGGACCCCTGCCTCATTCAGCACACAGGACGAACCCGCGCTGGGGACGAATCCAGATTGTGTAGTACAGGAATCTTGTCCCCAGTCTCCTTGTCCAGTTAGTTCTCCTGACTCCTCATCCAATCTGCCTCTCTGCTTTCCACTACTGGCAAACTGCAATTTATCAAAGGCTTAGAATTTGTCCAAATTTGAGCCTATTTTCATGGGGATGGCAAAAGACACATCCTTGCCAAAAGGCTGTCCTCCTGCTCCAGAACAGGGGGGCACTAGAGCTATTCAAAGAAAAGTCGGTCTAAAGAGTGTTTGAACATGAGGAAAACAATGTATTTTCCCCTAGCCTTGTTCTCAGATATAGTTGAAATATTTTGCTCTGAAAATTGTCCTAAAAATATCAGCTTGAGGCAGACACCCCACAGGAAAAATTTCAGCCCAAACAGTTAAAGCTTCTCAGAGTTATAAGCAACTGAAAACAGGGTTTTACTATGGGAAGTGATGGGCAAACTTAATAACAGGCAGTACTACCAGCCCAATCTATAATGTAACTATTTACATAAAGAAAAAAGCCAAACAGTGAGATACAAATTTATCAATTAATAAATGGCTGATATTCCTAAATATAACTACTTATTTTGGTAGGTTTTCTCTAGATAAAAGGAAAAGGGCTAGAATCATTATCATCTCCTATTTAAGAACATATTCAAGGCCTCTCTGTTCCAGCTTGGAGTCAGAAAGAATTCTGCTTAACTTCGACTCACGGCCAATTCTATGATACTAAAGAATTAAAGTACTGCACTTTCTCACACTAAAGAAAATAAAGTTCTATGTGAGACTTCCCTTTTTCCCTCTCTCCAGCCCTCCCTGACCTTTCTCAACCTCTAACTCCCACAGGTTCCTTCTCCTCACACTATAGGAAAGCTAAGGTCTTCCCCTCCTAAAAGATAATGGATCCTGGATCCTTCATACCTCTACAGATGTTGCCCAGACTATCTTCTACTCTTCATCTCTGAACTCAGTGAATGCACTGTCTACAACCACTGCCTTGAATTCCTCTCCTCCAACTCCATCCATGCCCCTCTGGCTTCTGATGTCTCCACTCCACTGAAACTGCTTTCACTAAAGTTTCTAACGATCACTTCATGGCCACATTTCACCTCACCTCCAACATCTAGGATGGTGGAAAAACTAGTTTGACAGAGAGAGGTCAGATTTCTATCCATATACCTGTACTGTTTAAGGATGCTGGGGTTTTTTTTTGCTTTCTGTAACCATATGCAGTATTAACATTTTAAAAAAACCCCACAGCAATAGAACTGCCCCTTCTGTTCAAAGTTTGACAAAGAAGCCAAGGACTTATCATACACAGACAATTACTTACTCTTTTATGCCTACAGGTGATCTCCTGGGGGTTAGAGTAGATGCATTTTAGGTGGGGCAGTATGGGAAAGCTTACTGTGCCACTGGCCATGCTGTATCTGTTCTGTGGATAAACCATCAGTCTAAAAGGCTGTCAGACTAGATCCATTCACTTGCCCAGGTTCTGTTTGGTATCCCCTGTAGTTCCCTGTTATTGTCCCTTTGATTCCACACTCTTGCCCTGCCTTTTTCTGGTTGTCCTCCATATTTTGTCGTCTTCTGTGTCTATTAAGCTCCTCTCATCTACTCAGAGAGCCCCAGCCCCTTCAGGTAGGTAAAGGAGACTGGCATGTTACACAAACACTAAATTATTGCATTTTTCACAGAGAAACATGCAATTTGGTCTCATGTAGGAGCTTGGTTGGTTTCCTCAGATTTACACAGTACATTTCCAAAAGAGAACACAGCTTTGGCAAGAAGATCAGTGTAGTGGGGTGGTTGCCCCACTCCATGAGAAAAAGGGCTAGAACAAGCCAGAGAGGCTGCGCAGATCAGCAGCCAATCAGCTAGGGCCTGTGGAGAGCCAATCAGGCCAAAGGGAGAGGCAGCCAATCAAGGCCAGGCTGGGTCCTATATAAAGGCTGTCTGGCAAAGGAGAGGGCAATCTCTCCCTGACTAGCAAGGGAGGAGGACTGGCCCCTGAGGTAAGGAGGTAGCACCTTGGACAGAGCAGTGCTGGGCAGGCTCGGGTGGAGTGGAGGAGAGCTCCAGCCCAGTTACCTGCCAGGCTGCGACCCCTGCTAAAGAGGGTTGAGAAGGTGCATAGGGCCAACGGGGAAGTGGCCCAGGGAAGATAGGCGGACAAGAGGGGAGCGAAGGAGGGCAGAGAGAGGCTGCTGCTAGAGGGTCCCTGGGTCGGGACCCAGAGTAGCGGGTGGGCCTGGGTTCTCCCCTTCCCCTCCTTGCATTGCACCTGGCCACAGGGGAGTGTGGCTGAGACAGATTGCAACTTGCCCCTGAGGTGAGGGGCTAGACTTTGGGGTTGTGGTTGGCAACTGAGGCAGGTGCAAGATGAAGGACTATCGTTATCTTCCCCCAAGAAGGGGGTGAGAACAGAGTACGGGGCACTGCCGGAGGGCAGTGTCCTAAAGGGAATGCTGCTGAGCAGGAAGCAACGTGGGTCCCAAACCAGCAGAGCAGACAACGGGCGAGACACCACGCACAGAGGGCACCGCACAGCTGACTAGCTAATTACCAGAGCAACCAGCAGGAGGTGCCAGCGGTGGTGAGTCGTGACCCCGTTCCATCAACAAAAATTATTCCACAGTTGTACATAATAGTAAAATATCATCTTGAGATGAGCATTTAGATCTTCAATTCTTGATGGAAAATCCTTTACTAAATATAATTCACATACCCAGATACACTCCCCGGAATATAAAAACACGTACTGAGCTCTCTTACCCATGTTTCTTAACTGAAGAGTCTTTTTGATAGTTGAAATCTTCATGTTGATGTGAGAGCATAAATCTTCCAAATCTGAAGAGGCCATATTACACTACTGCTCTACAAACCAAAAAAAACCCATTGGTACATTTAAGATATCCACATTATAAGTACAAGGTTTTTTGATGGACTTTGTGCTGTGTATGGCCCCAAGTGCAACCGGCTGACCCCTCCATGCACAATGACAAGGGACAGCAATCGACAAAAGGGATATACTTAACCAGTGGTCAGAACATTCCAATTCGCTTCCTAATCACCCTTCCATATTTCTGAGGAAGCAATTAATGCTCTTCAAGAACACTGACTAAAAGAATTTGCATTAGCCACTATCTTGTATAAGACCATAGCAGCAATCAAGCAGATGTCACAAGGAAAAACACCTGGAATGGATGGCATTCCAGCAGAGATCTATAAGCAGGGTAGCTACCATACTACAAGGTACCTCACATTGCTCTTCTGCATTACCTGGGAGCAGAAGTCAGTGCCAGACGGTTTCAAGGATGCCAACGTTGTCTACCTCTATAACACTAGTTCTCAACAGGGTGGATTTGATTTAAATCACTAGTCAGGAAGACTATTTAATCATGGACTTCTACATAAAAGTGCATTCTTGTTGGTTGGTATAACCTTAATACATATTCTTCACAACTCAGATGTAGGTTTCATTTTTAGAAAGTACACACTATACATTTTTAAAGTGACTTATTTTGAAAACTTTTCAGATTAGTTTTACAGCTATATCAGAAAATGAATGATTGTTTGGTTATTTCATTTACCAAAGGTAATTGAAGCAGATATTTATGAAGTCATTGTGAACTATCATTAATATTTGGAGGATTTTCTTGCTATGCTGTATTAGGAGGAGGAGATCACCAGACAAACATTTAAATAGTTTTATTTAACTATTTCTCATCTCTATATATTTATTAATTTTAAAACATTTTTGCTGTTAACAAGCATGTTATCTCTGGGGACACAAATCCAGTTTGAGATCTGTAAAACTAAGCATCTGTCAGGGTTCATTCTGAACTCTGGGGTACAGATGTGGGGAGAATGACCCCCTAAGCTTATTTCTACCAGCTTAGGCATGAAAGACCCCCTAAGCTTATTTCTACCAGCTTAGGTTAAAAACTTCCCCAAGGCACAAATCCTTCCTTGTCCTTAGATGGGTATTGCTGCCACCACCAAGTGAGTTAGACAAAGATTCAGGAAAAGGACCACTTGGAGTTCCTGTTCCCCTAAAATATCCTCCCAAGCCCCTTCACCCCCTTTCCTGGGGAGGCTTGAGAGTAATCTACCAACCAAATAGGTAAACCAGGTGAGCACAGACCACACCCTTGGTTTTTAGTGTCCTAAAAAACAATCATTCTTAAAAAAACAGAACTTTATAATAAAGAAAAAAAAGTAAAGAAGCACCTCTGGAAAATTAGGATGGAAGGTAATTTTACAGGGTAATATTTAAAACACAGGATTCCCCTCTAGGCAAAACTTCAAAGCTACAAAAAACAGGGATAAAGCTCCCTCTTAGTACAGAGAAAATTCACAAGCTAAAACAAGAGATACTCTAATGCATTTCATTGCTATTACTTACTATTTCTGTAGGTTTAGATATATCATTCAGTAGGAGCTGGATTACTTGCTTTGTCTCTCTCTGTCTCCAAAGAGCACCCCAAAGTCCAAAACAAAAACCTTTCCCCAAAGATTTAAAAGTATCTTCTCCCCTTATTGGTCCTTTTGGTCAGGTGCCAACCAGGTTATCTGATCTTCTTAACCCTTTACAGGTAAAGGAGGAATTTTATGCTACCTGTAGCTGTATGTTTATGACCGCATCACTGATATCTTCTAGACCAGGGGTGAGCAAACTATGGCCTAGGGGTCGCATCTGTCCCTCCAAATGTTTTAATCTGGCCCTTGAGCTCCCGCCAGGGAGTGGGGTCTGGGGCTTGCCCCACTCCGTGTGACTCCTAGAAGCAGCAGCAGCAGCATGTCCCCCCTCTGGCTCCTACACGTAGGGGCAGCCAGGGGGCTCTGCATGCTGCCCCCGCCCCAGGCGCTGCCCCCAAAGCTTCCATTAGCCAGGAAGACTTCTCCATGTTCTCCCAATGGGAGCTACAGGGTGGTGCCTGTGGATGGGGAAGTGTGCAGAGCTGCCTGGCCACGCCTCCACATAGGAGCTGGAGAAGGGACATGTTGCGGCTTCTGGGAGCTGCTTGAGGTAAGCACCTCGTGGAGCCTACACCCCTGACAGCCTCCTGCGCCCCAACCCCTCCATCCCAGCCCAGAGCACCCTCCTTCACCCCCAATGCCTCATCCCCAGCCCCCCCTAAAGCCTGCACCCCCAGCCATAGCCCTCACCCCATCCTGCACCCCAACCCCTAATTTCATGAGGGTTCATGGCCCGCCATACAATTTCCATACCCAGATGTGAACCTCGGGCCAAAATGTTTGCCCACCCCTGTTCTAGACTGAGCACTGATAGAAAGATTAACCTAAATCTATACAGAAGTCCCTGGAATCCCATAAGATTGGGTCCCTAATCCATGAACTATTGGAACTCATTTACAAACCTTAAACACTACATGAATATATTGTCTCATACTATAGAATTAGAATTTATAATCCCTATTCCATGATGAGATATCTTTGAGCTATAATGTATATCTATCTTTAATCGGATTTTTTTGATAATGCTTTGAGGGAAAAAAGCAATTTAAATTTTTTTTAAAAAATTTAAAAAATCATTGATTTTTATCCATTTTGGTTCTCAATCTATTTACCATTGTAGGCCGCATATGCAGCTCTCTGTGTTGTATGGACCTCATCCACACAATATATATACTACCTGTATGGCCCTGAGGATGTCACATGGGCCACAGCTGTGTGCTGATTGGGCCACAAGTGGCCCATGGGCTGAGAACCACTGCTCTATAAAAGATAAGACGCTAGGACAACTCTCTGTTGCTGGGAAAATTCTTGCACAGGTCATTTTGGATAGACTTAACACCTATCTTGTGGAAACCGTCCTCCCACATTCTCAATGTGGATTTCAGTCTGGAAGGAGCACCATAGACATGATCTTCACAGCCCCTCGGCTTCAGGAAAAATGCTGGGAGCAGAACCGTGGCCTTTATATGGTGTTCATTGACTAAACTAAAGCTTTTGACTCTAAGTTTTGAGAGATTCTGAAAACTTCTGTTCATCTTTGGAGGTCTTGCAAAGTTTATTTCTCTCATTCAGTCCTTCCATGATGAGATGATGGCTGGAGATATGGAAAATGGTGAGATATCAAACCCCTTCTTAGTGCCCAATGACCTCAAACAAGGTTGCATGCGAGTTCCACACCCCTTTCCAACCCTTTTTTTCACAATGCCTATAGATGTATTTCATCACATTGACAGTATTTATCCAGTTCCACACTGATGGGAAGCTATTCAAATCTGCAACGCTTCTGTGCTCGCACGACAATGGAATATTTACTAATTAAGGAGCTTTTATTTGCTGATGACTGTGCATTGCTTGCTCACTAAACTGATGACATTCAAGTTATAACCGATCACTTTGCTTGTGTAATCGATCATTTCAGTTTCACAATCAGCCTAAAAAGAAACTGAAGTACTGTACCAACCTGTGCCAAGGGGATGCTCATACCTACCTTAAGATCAACAAAGCTCCTCTCAAGTTCATGGAGAAGTTTTGCTACCAAGGTAATATGCTGTCACAGAATGCCACAATTGATGAGGAGATTACCTATCCCATTGTAACCGTGCCTTTGTGGGTCACAACTGAGAATACCAAATTCAGGACAAACTGCTGAGAGAAAGGGCAGCTACTCCAAAACTGATGTATATTCTCCTATAAAATATACCAAACCAGCAACAAAAGTAAACTTCTGTTTCTCCACACTGACTAACAAGAAGTCAGAAAAGCAGTTTTCTTAGATATTCCAGTCCTTTATCACCACCAAAACCACTAGACTTAAAGATGAGGGGTTCTTTAAAATCAATTTCATCAAATGAAAGGTTCTTCTGAGTCAAAAGGACCAGTCACACACCCAGGTCAATATATAACTCAGATCTGACCCAGTAATCATGCTGTTGCCAATCCTTTAGTATCTAAAAATCTAAAGGTTTACTGATAGAAAATTAAAATTGGTTAAAAGAATCAAATACATATAATAACTGCAAAGTTCTTGGTTCAGGCTTGTAGCAGTGATGGAATAAACTGCTGGTTTAAGTCAAATCTTTCATTGCTTCCAAATCATTGGAAAGTCCTCAGTCCCTTGGTTAGAATGCTCCCATTAGCGTAAGTTCATAGCCCAGAGGTTTGACCAGGAAAGAGGAAAAATTGAGATGTTTCCAGCGTCTTTTATAGCTTCTGCCATGTGGAGGGAAATCCATTGTTTCAAACAATGCCCTCAGCACAGTTAGTGGAAAATTACAGGTAGCAAGATGGTGTTTGGAGTCACATGGACAAATCACATGTCCATGCCTGATTTTGCTTAGTCACAGCAGGAAAGTCCATGAAGTGTATATTGGGGTCTCCCATGATCTATTGTGAGTTAAGTGTTCCTTGATGAGCCACTTAATTTGAATAGTCCCTTCAAGATGTGCAGGCTAAATACCTGGTGGGTGTTACCCCAGGAGCAAACATATTTGAAATACAGGTATAGAGCCAATGCCCATAACTTCAAATACAAAAATGATACATGCATACAAATAGCATAATCATCTTCAGCAAATCATAACCTTTCCATAAACACCTTGCTTGACATGATTTGTACAAGATTTGTTGCAATTATATAACAGTAATAGCAACAATGATCTACATGGTCATATTTAATCAGTCACACACACATCCAAGGCCAGCTCCATGTCTGGAATGCTGTCACACCACCGATGGAATGATAGGGGTATCAAAATAAGCACGAAGCTAAATTTCTATTCTTTTTCCAACTCTTCTATATGGTTGTGAAATGTGGACAACATATCACAGGTTCATATGTGCTGTCTTTGGTCTGTTTGCAAGGTCAAATGGTGGGACAAGATTTCCAGTACCAAAAT